CAGAAAATATATCATGCAGGTATTAAACAAAGGAAAACCTGTGTAGTTATAATAAATCAGGCAAAATACGTTTTAAGCTAAAAGGTACAACTAGAGATAAAGAGAATCACATCATAATAATTTAAAAATTTACCAGGAAGATATAATAATTCTAAATTTGTTTGTAGTTAGCAGTATGGCCTCAAAATCTATAAAGCGAAAACTGACCAAATTACAGTAGTAAACAGATAAATATGCAATTATGGCAAGAGATTTTTAATACATCTTTCAGATGTTTTAAAGCAGATTAAGCAGACAAAAGATGAAGAAAAACGCACCTTGCACATAACAACTAAAAAATACACGTTCTTCCCAGGCACATCTAATATGTTTACAGTCGGTACTGACCATATACAGGGCCCTAAAGTGGGTCTCAACAAATTGCAAAAGACTGAAATGGTACGGAATATGTACTCTGACCACAATGCAATAAAGATACACTTCTAAATTACCCATTAGACTACATTAGATATTCTGAATAGAATAATAATGAAAATACTCCATGTGAACACTTCTGGGATGTAATCAAAGCAGTACTTGGAAGAAAGTTTATAGACTGAGATGCACATCTGAGAAAAGAAAGGCTGAAAATTAAAAACTAATTAACCCAAGACATAAGAAAATGAATAGGAAAATAAACATAAAGTTGGAGGAAATAATAAATAGATCGGGTGCCTGTGGAGAGCAGTTACCCTTGGCCCAGTGCGTCAGGATTGCAGAAAGGCACCTAACACAGTCCTGCTGGTTTCTCTGTCGGTGAGATGGAGAAACGGGCCTGGAGAACAGCTCATCACTGCCGGACAGTCTTACTCAAAGGATGCGGATTAAGCAGTTTATCGTAAAGGACCGTCCCAGTGGCCACCACAGGCTTGTCCTAGTGCTGCTTCCCGCACGGTTTTCTAAAAACATCGAGTCACGATTTAGAGAGTACAAAGGTGCCACCCTGCCACCTGCCACCACCCAGTGGATGCCAAGTTCTGCGGAAGACTTTCTCCAGATGGCCTCTCCTCTCTCTCCTCCCACCCCTCGTCCCTCCTGGTCTGATGCTGTGATGTCTCATCGTCTGTCTGTCCACGGGCACAGGCTTCCTCAAGCAGAAAGACCACGCGCGACATCAGGCCCAGTGGGCCCTGTAACCACCCAGCGCTCTGTCTGAATGTGCACCTGCGCCCCTGCAGGAGATCCACATCCTCTCCTGAAGACCCGTGTGCAGGGGAGGGGGCGCAGTCCAGGAGTCCTGCATCGGTGTGACCAGCTCAGCGGCCGACGCATCGCCAGCCTGTCTGCCCCACTGTGGCGACAGAGTCCTGATACTGCCTGCGCCCTGTTATCTCTTGGGTGATGGGTCGCACCTGAGATGACCACGTGATAAAGTTCTTCGTGAACTGAAAAGTGCTAAACGAATGTCAGGCACTACTGCTATTCATGTTTTTATCTCAGTCGCTTTGAGCAAATCACGCCAACCCTTGGGTATTAGTAAAGTTTCTGACTGTACGGGTTGTTCCCTGAATGTCTCAGAAGCATTTTCTGAATTTGCTTACATCAGCCAAGCATTCCTTCAGAATTGGGAACACGCTTTTAAGTTTAGCTCTGTCATGATTAAACTTTTTGTAAATTTTAAATTATATTAAAATGAACACATTGCCTATTTTTTTTTAATTTGGAAATAGAAGAAAAATAAAAGGCCAAAATCTCAACACTAAGGACAATCACATTTACATTTTACTCATTATCCTCCAGTTCTTTCTCTAGATTATTACTATTTTTTTTTTAGCACATAAGTTGTTTAAACTGGATTTTTGGAAGCTGCTGGTAAACCGTGAAGTACTGGAGAGAATTTTTCCCAGAGGAACTGCTGTGTGTTGTGGGCTTATTCCCATCATAAGGAAAAGCATTCATAATAAAATAATTTGCTGTTATGATTTATCCAGCTGTTGTTGAGAAAAGAGGCAGTGACCCCTCAGAATTCTTCCAAGTTCCTTAGGGATTTCCTTTGCTTTGACTCGATGGAAATTATTTATTCTTCTAGTGACTTTTAAAGAAAGGTACAAAGCTGAGATGTCTCCTGAGCCCTCGTATATCTGAGAACGCCATTCTGCATCTCAGCCTTTACCTCTGAAAACTTTTTTTTCACTGTCCTTTGGCTTTCACAGCGATGAACAGTTGAATTCTGGGAGCGCTGTCCGCTTTGTTCCTTTCTGTGTAAGCCTGTTGTTTCTAGCTGGATGCTTTCAGCAGTTAGTCCCCAGTGTTCTGACAAATGTCATCAGTAGGTCCTCCAACAAAGCGGGTGGGCCCCTCATCAAACACGTTTGGGAAATAGGTGTTGTGAGTGCAGGACCACTGATGTGCATATGGTGAAACACTGAGCTCACTTGTATTTTTCAAATGTATTTAGCAGAGTTCGTGGAACACTAACAACTCCTGGGAAATGCCCAGTTTGGGATCAGTTGGCTTATAATTTTAATTGTATTTATATTTAAGTTCTCAAAATGAAAGGCAGAGTCTGTCTAGGTGTGTGTGGGGGTCTCTTTTTACTGTTTTCTTTGTTCGTTTTGATCTGGAATGCAGGATTCTCTTCTCTCTCTTTGCTTGCATTTATTTACTTTGCTTTAAAAAATTGTGGTAAAACATACATAACAAAAACTTTTCTATTTTAACCATTTTTAATTGTGTATGTAGTTCAGTGGCATTAAGCACATTCACACTGTTAGGCAGCCATCAAGGATTCCCTTTTAAATTACACATCCGTTTTTTATCATCTCAAAAAAGTTTCCTTAAATTCACTGACTAGCACGTCTTCACCAGAGCTCCTGCTATGTGCTGGTCACTGTTCTGAGCACTGGGAACACAGGAAGACAGGAGAATTTGGGTTTTGTTGCTGTTTCTGTTCCAGCTGTCCTGGCTTTGTCCCCGGGATTCTGTGCCGCTTCCTGGCTGCCGGCTTTCACCGTGTCCCTGAATTTAACCTGCACTCTGAGTGAGATGCTTCTCATTTCTCCTTGGCAGTTTTGGTCTTTTCTGCTTTGATCATGTTTTAAATCACTGCGCTGTGTTTCAGTTTCTCTGCATTTCTTTTTTTCTTATTCTGCCTGTCTTCTTTTTTAGATTCGCCTATTTTAAATTTCCACTTGTTCTTTCTTTATGGCTTTCGGCTTCATAAATACCGTGTTTTCTCAAGTCTCACTAAGAATGGCAGAGATGTTTTCTACAGTGTGCCTTAGTTCCTTTTAAGAATAGTGTTCAAAGTTGGGATCTTCCCGCATCTTCCAGGTGATCTTCCCTTCCTTTTTCTGAAGCTCCGCACAGCTTTCCTTTTCTGCTCACTCACCCTCAGCTGAAAAGGGAGGATAAAGGCCCAGGGGCTGGTGGCTCGGTACACCTGGAGCTGTTAAAGCACCTTTTCAGACTTACCTGTAACGGACGGCAGGTTGGTGTCAGTTTCTCCGGGTCCGTTTCCCAGATGAGAGTGAGCGTCTGTGTCAGCAAGAGCGTC